GGAGCTGTGTATTTTTCGCATTGGTATTCTATGAAAATACTACGTAAAATGCTCACAATATTAGTTTATATTTTTCGTATATAAGACTCTACATATTAACCCTTTCTTTTCACCCTTGTCCCATATTTCCCCATTAGTCGGCAGATTCTGCATGTAGGCACGAACTTGCTTGGTTGGCTTCGATCGAGACTCAGGCCGAACAGGCTGTGCATCACCTATTCCTTGCTTCAGAATCAACTCACTGCCAGATAACCCAACGAAATGTGTCGCAGTCCAACCTTATGCCCAAAAGAATTGGGGGCGGCGAAGACCTTAATGATACATCCAAAAAGCAGAAAGAGTTGAAAGAAATTTCTCCTCTTGCTTGTTTGGCCCTACTGGACCGACTTGAGGCTGCAACGAAACACCGTAGTGAGCCTTTGTCGCAGACCCAATTTGCACAGCTACGTCTAAAGTTGGATGAAAATTCCGTTAGATCAGGAGAAGAGAAGGTACGATATATTCACGTGTTATCCTTTATTAGCTATAACTAAAAGTAAAATATAATTAATATTAAAAAGCCTTATAGTTGACTACAAAATGATATGTTTCTATAAATTTTAAGGATAGATTGCCTTACCCATCTATTATACCGGTGGTTAAACAGAACCTCAAGAAAATTATTTAAAATGATTTCTTCTGTCACTCACTTTTTAAAGACTTAAGACTAGTATAATCAACGTTCATATTTCTAGCCTATTCTTTATATCTTTAAACAAATGAATACCTACTTGTCAATTATATCATTATCTGCCTACTTTCCTTTTTATCTCTTACTTTTAATATATGAATTTATCTGCTTCTATTGATTGCTAAATTGATCATTATTTATATCCTTCTGGCTCTTCATTCTTCCTTTGCTTTACTATGCGAGCACTTCTATCTGCAAAGATATACATACGTGCATTTTATATGTGTAACTCTTCTTTACTTCGTTCCTCTAAATCATTTTATTTATTTATTTAATCTCAATTTTATCATCCAGTGTATACTTACACGCCTTAATTAAGGAGGACAAGTTTTTCCATATTGTATTATACTTTTTTTCTTTCTTTATTTTTAATTTTGTTTGATTTTTTGTGGCTTTGAAGTCAAATGGTTCTACCCTTCGGTCTCTCACGCACGACCAGGTTGCTGCAGTTATTTCCA